TGTGCTAATTGTCCCCCCACTCATGACTGGAAACAGATGTTCTTATCATGAGTCCTGGGATCCTCTATATGCAGATGAGGTGCTGTGCAACCTGGTCCAGCTGCATCTCATGGAGGGTGAGGGCCACACTAATCATCGGGGATCCAAGTTTTCTGCTTCCCATGGAAAAACAGAGAAAACCACGGATTTCCCTGTTTTATCAGAGAGAAAACTAATTTTACCTTTTAGCAGAGATCCCTGTAGATTTCCCCCTTTTGCAAAGAGCTCTGCAGGCTAGAAGAGTTTCAGCCTGCAAGAGCTGTTTGCAAAAGGGGCATGAAACCCTCAGCCCTGCCCAGAGGGAGAGGGGGAAGTGCAGGGCCTGAGGCTCTGTCAGCCACAGCTCAGCTTGGCTTGGCTCAAGCTGACTCTTTGCTCCTGGAGCCTATGTGGTAAGTGGGTCTTGCAGGGGGCTGGTGCCACCCTCTGGCAGGGCTGGGGGGTTGTGGGTCATGGCTGGGGGTACCAGCAGGTTTGGAGGAGGGGGTGGGATCTGACTTCACCCCTGGCCAAGCCTGCAACAGGGAGCAGCAATGGGGGAGCTGGCTCATGTTCTTTCTGCTGCAGCAGCTCTGCTGCCTTCTGTTGGGGGCAGGGATCTATGGACCCGGGTCCCTGGCCCCATAGCCCTGGCAGCTGGGGGCCTCCTCCGGCACAGCTGGGGGGCAGGGGCTGTGAGTGGGGGGCAAGGGGCACAAGCAGGGTGGGGTAGCTGGAGTGGAGAAAGAAGGGCACCAGCAGCATGGGGGGCTTTTGGTGGGAAGGAGGGGCACCAGCAAATGGAGGGCTTGGGGGGAAGGAGGGGCACCAGTAGGGTGGGGGGGCTTGGGGAGGGGAAGGAGGGGCACCAGCAGGGCAGGGAGGGGGCTGTGTGGGGGCCTTTAATTTTAATAATGGATTTGGGGGGTTTTATCAGAGAACTTGCGAATTTTTTTTTTTTTTATCGGGGAAAGCTAGGATCCTTGCTAATCATATGCATGGGGCTGAGAGAGGGGGTGAGAGAGGGATTCTAGGTAAAATGTCTGGGGCCCTGTTTGATATTTGCCAGGGCATTTAAGGCTGGTTAAAAAACAGGACACATTGGAAATGGGAAAGAAAGAGAACTCCCTGCTGTAGGAGTGAAAAGGAAGTAAAAATGTATTCAGTGTAGTGGCTCACTATGACTTGAAAAAAGAGTCAGCAATGGGGGGGACTAAGCACAACGGGCAGTACTATATGTCTTATTCAGATGGGTTACACTATCCTATCATTGTGGTAGGTTCCTATCAGCATATTTGGCCAATGTGTGCTTTGTTTTATAGTCTGCCAGCTACATTTAGTCAACTTGATAGTTGGTTTCCATTACTGAGCACGTGCTGCTTTTGTCAACAATATAATTATAGACAGTGTATTTGGTGAGATTTCCTTGTTTCTGAATGTAATGCAAGGGGTGTTTTTCCCCATGTTGTCTGGGGGGAAAAACATTGTCTTCTGGTCGAGTAAATATGGTATATATTTTATTTAATTCCATCTGGCATATACGTTCACTCTTTCAAGGAAAGACTGCTTGGTATAGCAGGGAGGACTTTTTGTTGTGCTTGTGGTTAAGACTTTTCCCCAGCTGCAAAGTCTATATTTTTATTTATTGACTGATTCCCTGTTATCACAGCAGTTACCAAAAATGCTTGTCCATAGTTTGCAACATTTAGGCAGGATGTAGAAGCATTATTCTTCTATGAGTTCAACAACAATTAATTTATAAGGCTTACCCTGTATTTTTTATATTGAGTATACTCTTCAAGCATATCTTTATAACTGCTTGTGCTCTGCCTTTCAGTAATTTCACCAACTGTACCCGAGGTCAGCAAATGATTGCATTTACATTATGGTTAGGAATAAGTCTCTTACTCCCACTGCCTCAACTGTTTTATTCTGTTCCCTTCCAACTTTTAAGAAATATGTTCCTTTTTTTTTCTTTTTATAAGGTGATTTTGTTCTGATTTTACTTGGCACTTGTATAATAATAAAACCTTATTCCTAAAGAAAAGTGCCAAGCCATGTTTACTTCAAAATTCCATTGACTTCAATGCCACCCCTGTCAGTCGTCAGGTTAGTATTATGAGTGGTGCTTGCAAATTTTAGGATTTAATATTGTATAGCCATTAACCACTGCATTGTAATTTTAGATTTTTAACCTGATGAAGTTTGACAGCTATACTCGCTTTCTGAAATCCCCACTCTATCAAGAATGCATTCTGGCTGAAGTAGAAGGTCGCCCTCTTCCTGATCCACAGCGTGTTCCCAGCAGCCCTACTTCTAAACATAGTTTCAGCTCAGAGCGGTCCAATATCTCCACACCAAAAAAGGTTGCCTTTTGATTAAATTCTGGGTATTCTGAAAACTAACTTCTTTGTTATTTATGGCTGAACACTTTTCAGTGTATAGAATCCAATAAAAATGCTTGCACTTACTAATGCTGACAAAATAATCTAACTGCGGAATTGTAATTTACCTCAGAACACTGTTTTTATTTTTAATCCATACATTCTTCATCAGATTTATAACATAAGCTAGTAAGAGAAAATGAGAACCAGGTTCTCAGCTAATGCGTAATATATTTTCATTCCATGAATATTAGGAAATTAAGATATAAACCTTTCACACCTCTAAGTAATCAATTAATTCAGTTACAGTTAATAATAAAAGTTAGCATTATCTAAAAGGGGTGCTCAGAGGATGTAGGTGAATCAGTCATTGCCCTTGTAGACAAATGTCTACATCTCAAAAAATACCACCACCAGTGGCTCAAAATATCATCCTGGTACATCTACTAGAAAGGTCAGTTATTGTATAAGGATAGAAAATAAATTATTTTCTTATTCTTGGAATCTATTCTTGTAATACGGTGGTGTCAGACTTCTTCCAGGATAATTATTTAAGAAGAAAATAGGATATGTGAGTAACATCCTCTACTTTTAAAAACTAAAATCATTATATTACAATTGTTGCAAAAGGTAGGAAGTAGGGACTGTTGTGCAGCTGCTGCCCCTCCTCTGCTGCAGATGATTGGAAACCCTATGATTGGCCTTGTGGTGAAATGGGGGAGGAGGGAAAGGAAAGGAGAAAATCATTTTGGCAAATTTTTCTTGCTTACCTGTGGAAACCGTAGAGAAAACAGGGCAGGATGGACTGACTCCATCTGAGCCTAAGGGAACAGATGGCAAAGAGCTGCTTTTTCTCTTTTCCATGACCCTGAAGAGCTGAAGCAGAAGAAAATCTTGGAAATAAGTTTTAGCTGCCTGATTCTTGTTCCCTGCACAAGTTAGTGTAGTCTAAGGGTTGGTTAAACTTGTGCTAGCTGACAGTGGTCTCCTTGTGCTTCCCATCCTTGTCATTCCTTCTGTTTCAATGTGTAGAAGCGACACCAGGTACACCAGCTCTGTTGCCTGCTTCAAATTCATTTACACAAGCAGACTCCTCAGATTGAGCTTTTTTGCTGCTGGTGTCCAGTACTATTTTTCCATTTCTGTTGACTATAGCCTGCAAAATGAAGAGGCTGAACATTGTTGTCACACAGTAAGATTTGAGCCCCTCATAGAAAGTGGTATTTTTGCAACATTTTTCCATGGAAAGAGAGAGGGCTTGAATAAACCTGACATCGTCCACAATAAATAATAATTCACATATTTTACCTTTATGAAATAAGGAAAAAAAATTCTATATGCAAAGCAAGTATAACTGGTAGGCTGTATGTCATCTGTGGAAATAGATTCATAGATGTTAGGGTCAGAAGGGACTTCAACAGATCATCGAGTCCGACCTCCTGCATAGGCAGGAAAGAGTGCTGGGTCTAGATGACCCCAGCTAGATGAATATCCAACCTCCCCTTGAAGACCCCCAGGGTAGGGGAGAGCACCACCTCCCTTGGGAGCCCATTCCAGACCTTGGCTACTCTAACTGTGAAGAAGTTCTTCCTAATGTCTAGTCTAAATCTGCTCTCTGCTAGCTTGTGGCCATTATTTCTTGTAAC